GGGCCATGCTGGTATTCCCCCCCACTCCCGCCGTGTGAGAGGGGCAGGAAGCTGAATTGTGTGCGTACCCATTTCTAAGCCAGGCAGCCAGTCCTGGAAGCCCCTTCCTTCCTTCCCAGGTGCACCTGGCTGCTCAGAGCTGGCGGGGGCGGGGGGGGGGGGGTTCAGTCCTGTTATCCGGGTGAGGCTCTGTGAAGGGGGGGCTGGCAGGAAAGCCTCTTCTTAGGGCTCAGACCTAGGCTAGCCCATTTCTGGGAGACAAAGGAGCCTTGGGGTCCAGGCCCTCTCTGGGTCTGCCCTTGCCTGCAGCCAAAGCACCCCCAGCCCTGCAAGTTGTGTCCCTGTAGGTGAGCCCCCCCGCCCTCCCCAGCAAGCCGTCCCCAGGACTCAGCTCTAAGCCAGGGGCGCCACTGCGCCCGGCCCTGGGCGGCCCCCCTCCGGGGGCCTGCGGGGTGTGAGGGGGCTGGGCTGTGGCAGCCGCCAGGCTGTGATGGAGGATGCCTTGGCCCAGGCTCTGCCTGGTGCCCCGTGGGGGCCTCCAGCAGTGCCCAGGCTGAAGGATGGATCCCTCCTCCCCTGTCTGAGTGGGGGTCCTCGGGGCGCCAGGGCCCCATGAATTATTTCTCTAAGGAAAATACAGTTGACTCCATTTCTCCTGCCCCACTTCCTGACCTCCAGCCCCTAAATCAACAGTGAAGGGTGCGGCTTGCCTGGGCCTTGGCCGCGCAGTCCAGCTGGGGTCCCTACGGCCTGCCTGCAGGGGTTCTCAGTGGGGGTGCAGCCTCTGCATCCTGAGGCCGCCTAGTCAGGGAGGAGAGCGGCCACCCTGCAGGGCTGGGTCCTCACCCCACAGGAAGAGGAGAGGCAGCTCTGAGGGCTGTCAGAGGCCACACAGCCAAGCTGGCGGCCGCCCGGAGTCCCCAGAGACCCCGTGTGCTTCCGCGCCAAACCGACCAGCCTCTCAGACCAGCTCACCCTGGTCACTGCCTTACACACACACACACACACATGCACACGCCCGCTGGCTCACGCATGCACACACCTGCTGGTACAGACACACTGGCTCACACATGGACACACTGGCTCACACATGGACACACTGGCTCACACAGGGACACACACTGGCTCACACAGGGACACACCCGCTGGTTCACAGACACACTGGCTCACACATGGACACACTGGCTCACACAGGGACACACACTGGCTCACACATGGACACACACTGGCTCACACATGGACACACTGGCTCACACAGGGACACACACTGGCTCACACAGGGACACACCCGCTGGTTCACAGACACACTGGCTCACACATGTACACACCCACTGGTACAGACACACTGGCTCACACATGGACACACACTGGCTCACACATGGACACACACTGGCTCACACATGTACACACCCGCTGGTTCACAGACACACTGGCTCACATGCAGACACACTGGCTCACACAGGGACACACACTCAGACACTGACACACTGGCTCATGCATGGACACACTGGCTCACAGATACCCACTGGCTCATAGACACACTGGCTCACATTCACCGGTTCACACACGACACACATGCTCACAGACACACTCAGATCTACACTTACAGGCACACCAAGATACACATTCCAAAACATTGACTCAGACACATCACACACACATTCAGCTGAATACACTCCCAGACACACACAGGTACAGATGGCTGACATACCCAACACACGCGTGTGCGCGCGCACACACACACACACGAGCTCTCACACACACACACGAGCTCACACACACACGAGCTCACACACACACAAGCTCACACACACACACGAGCTCACACACACAAGCTCACACACACACAAGCTCACACACACACGAGCTCACACACACACGAGCTCACACACACATGAGCTCACACACACACAAGCTCACACACACACACGAGCTCACGCACACAAGCTCACACACACACGAGCTCACACACACACGAGCTCACACACACACAAGCTCACACACACACGAGCTCACACACACACGAGCTCACACACACACGAGCTCACACACACATGAGCTCACACACACACGAGCTCACACGAGCTCACACACACATGAGCTCACACACACACATGAGCTCACACACACACGAGCTCACACACACGAGCTCACACACACACAAGCTCACACACACACACGAGCTCACGCACACAAGCTCACACACACACGAGCTCACACACACACAAGCTCACACACACACACGAGCTCACACACACAAGCTCACACACACGAGCTCACACACACACGAGCTCACACACACACGAGCTCACACACACAAGCTCACACACACACGAGCTCACACACACACGAGCTCACACACATACGAGCTCACACACACACAAGCTCACACACACACACGAGCTCACACATAAGCTCACACACACACGAGCTCACACGAGCTCACAAACACACGAGTTCACACACACGAGCTCACATGAGCTCACACATACATGAGCTCACACACACACGAGCTCACACACACGAGCTCACATACACGAGCTCACACACACGAGCTCACACACACACGAGCTCACACACACACACGAGCTCACACACGAGCTCACACACACGAGCTCACACACACGAGCTCACACACACGAGCTCACACACACGAGCTCACACACACACACGAGCTCACACATGAGCTCACACACACAAGCTCACACACACGAGCTCACACACACACATGAGCTCACACACATGCACACATATACACACACGAGCTCACACACATGCACGTGCGCACACACACGAGCTCACACACGCGTGTGCGTGCACACACACGAGCTCACACACGAGCTCACACACACGAGCTTACACGAGCTCACACAAGCTCACACACACACACGAGCTCACACACACACGAGCTCACACACACACGAGCTCACACGAGCTCACACACACACATGAGCTCACACACACGAGCTCACACACACACACGAGCTCACACACACACGAGCTCACATACACACATGAGCTCACACACACGAGCTCACACACACGAGCTCACACACACACGAGCTCACACACACACACGAGCTCACACACACACTCGAGCTCACACACACACACGAGCTCACACACACACGAGCTCACACGAGCTCACACACACGAGCTCACACACACACGAGCTCACACACACACACGAGCTCACACACACACGAGCTCACACACACGAGCTCACACACACGAGCTCACACACACATGAGCTCACACACACACGAGCTCACACACACACGAGCTCACACACACACACGAGCTCACACACACGAGCTCACACACACACGAGCTCACACACACACACACGAGCTCACATGAGCTCCCTGCCTGTGGTCCTTCCTAGCTGAGTCAGCTCATGCTCCATGGGGCTTTACTCCTTTTGGACATTCAAGGAGGGGCATCTTTCTGCTGGCCCCTAGCAAGTCTTCACCCTCTCCTGGCCCCCCAGACCTCACCCAGCCTGGCTCTAGCTCCTTGAGCCTCAGTTGTCCCATTTCTCCCCGGGCCCCATCATCCACAGCTCCCGCCACGGTGACCCTTCACGAGGACCTCCCAGGCTCAGCCTCTGCCTGCGTGCACGAGGTACCTGCGCAGGTATCCGGCGTGGCGGGCCCCCGCCAGGCCTCGGCCCGCACGGCGGCCGTCTCTGCTCTGCGGTGTAAGCTACAAAGACCTTCACACGTTCAGTCTCCTCAACTCCTGTTCACGGAGCGCTCAGCGCGGCCTCCTCCGTGCAGACTCCCACCCTTCCCGCCGGGGCCCGAGCCAGGTGAGCAGGAGAGTGCTGTCGGGGCCCCACTCCCCAGGCCTCTCCCACAGGAATGGGCAGTGAGCGCCCAGGTGTGGGTCTGGGCTCACAGGCCTCACGCTGCTGCCCAGGGAGGCTCTGCACCCACACCCAAATCTGGTGTGATCGCGACCGGACTGAGGGAGCGCTGCACACGGTCCCGTCCCGCAGCACAGAAGGGCCAGCCACGCACTTGAGTCAGTCTGCCGCCAGCTTCTGTGTTTCAGAAGGGAAGTACTAAAACTACCCAGGGGTCAGCAAGTAACCAGCGGGGCTGTGGCTCAGTGGGAGAGCATCTGCCTGGCAAATGCAAGGCCCCAACTTCAAACCCCCTGCAACGTAAGCATTCTGTGCCCCCCCCAAAAAAAACTGGAGCCCATGGGTCTCTGGTAGCCACGGAGGGCGCCCAACCCTTCACCAACAGAAAGGGCCCCAGGAATCCAGGGTCAGGCAGACCCCAGGTCTGACTGGACACAAGGCCATCCCATGTCAGGACAGGGCCTGGGGGCCAGATGGGAGGGAAAGATCTGGAAATCCTCCCGGGTTGCTGGATTGAAGGTGTGATGAGAGACAGAGCCCGAACCAGGTTCCATTCCGGCCCAGGGGTCACTCGGTGGCCTTGCGGGAGTGAGGTCAAGGGCCAGCCTGCAGTGAACCGGCTCACGGAGGGGCTCTGCGCAGCCTGGCCCGGCCTGCTTCTGCGGGCAGGGTGGGCACCTGGGCCAGCACAGGTCCGAGACCGTGGGCAAGGCCGCCACGTAGAGCTGCCCCCAGTCAGACCCGGGCATGGGGGCTGCGGGGCAGACCGGCGTCTTGGCCTGGACTCAGGTTCCTCTCCTCTGCTGGGGCAGGCTTTCCCAGGGCCCGACACCGTGAGGCCAGTTCTGAGGTAATTCTGCCCAGCCTCGTACCCCGAGGGCAGCAGCCCTGCCACCCTGTCCCCCTGCCCGGTCCCAGGCCTCCCCGGGGGCAGGGCAGCACCCGGCCCAGGTGCTGTCCGTGAGGGCTGTGCCCAGCAGGGCACCAGCGCCCTCCACGCCCTGCCTCATCCTGTCCACATGGGCTGCTCCACCCCGGTGCTGGTGGGGTCCTCGGGCTCCCCGGGCCTCGGTGTCCCCGGGAGGTCCTGAAGCCCATGCCCCAGGACAGAAGGAAACAAAGCACTCCGTCCTTTTGTCACACAGCAGAACTTTATTGAGGCCCAGCGCCCAGCCCCATGGGGTCACAAGCCGAACCAGGAGGGGACACCGCCACGCCGCGGGTCACTGCTCTGTTTCTGGGGCAGAGCCTCCTGGAGCCCTTCCTCTGCCACCAGGTCCTGCTCTTTCTCGGGAAACAGATCCGGGAAGGTGAAGGTCTGCCCGTGGGCCTGGGGAGAGAAGGAGAGCCCAGTTCATCCCCTTCCTTCCGGCCTCTCCTCCCCCTTCTCCCCATCCCCCAACTCTGGACCCTGACCTGCACCAGGGGCCTGATGAGCCACCGGTGTCTCTGAGCAGGGTCCCTGCCTGGAAAACAAACACATCGGCGGGCTTTTATCTAGCAGCGGGAAGCCATTCCCCACAAGGCCCCTTTTCATCCTGCTATCTCTTACAAGTGGGTCTGGGGCTACACCAGCCCTGGCTCATTAAAAGCAGCCCCGGCAAAGCCTCATTCACCAGGCAGCAGCCTGTGGAACTGGGGGCAGGAACTAAGCGCAGAAAAACAGGGCACAAATGACGTCTGGTGCCAGGCTGAAACTTTTTCCATCCAAAATACCTAGAGGCCTTCGGCCGCATTAAAGGCTGCCCTCCTCCAGGCCGGAGCTTGGCAAATAAAACGCATATAACATACACAGAACCCCACAGATGCGGCAGTCTATAAATCAAGGCTGGCTTTGCAAATTAACTGGTTTTACGTCTTTTGCTAGCTCAGTGTGCGTGAGCAGAGCCACGTCCCAGCCCGGGCTCTGGGCACATGGGCAGCACCCGTGTGGGCCCTTGGAAGGGGGGCAGGCCGCTTCCCTCGATACTGGGCCAGTTAGCTAACTGCTATCCCTCAGCCCAAGATAAGGGAGGGGAGAGCCCCCACGAAGCACCTTGGACCCCCTGGGACGTCTGGTCCATAGAGTCCGGTGCTGGCGCAGACCCGGCTTTGGGAGGTGAGCCTTTGGGAGGTGAGCCGGAGCTTGCAAGCAGACTCTCTACATCCATGTTGTTTTCCCCTTTGTAATGCACCAAGGAGCAGGTCTGCCCCTAGCTGAGTGTCTACTCTGTTTTGCAGCAGGGAAACCCCAGAGCGGGGCTTTATTAACACACAGACGCAAACCCGAGGGTGGCCGGGGGGAGCACTCTGCTTTGTACCCCCCACAAGCCTTTGGGGTGCTAGAGATCTTCCCTGGGGATTCTCCTCTCTAGAGAAATTCACCCGGGGTGCCTGTCCCCCACCCCCCAAAGAGGGAGAGGCCGTGGGGACCTGGGGCAGGAAGGGAGAGAAAGGTCACAATGCGAAGTAGAAAAGCCAGCTCTGACTCCAGTAATCCTACAGCCTCTCCTCCATTGTCCGGGCGGGAACACGCCTGCTCCTCCCTGGCCGTCTGCAGTGTTTGCTCTGCAGCCGGCGGCTCAGGACCGTGTGCACCGTTCACTCAAACGCCACTCTGTGTAAACACGGTCAATGCTCTTTTTGTTATGTGGGTGACTGAGGGCTTGCGAAGGCTCCCTCCTGGACTTGGGGCCAAAGAGATGTTTATCAGGTTGTCAGAGGAAAAATGTGGGACGCCCCCCATGTGGGACCATGCCGGCCATGGCCGCCAAACTGCCATAAATCCCCTCCTTCAACTTGTCTCCCTGCGCCCCACAATGTGCTGTTAGAACGAGCCTAAGAGGGCCCAAAGGACACCCAGGGATGGTCTCTGCAGATGTGGAGAGGGGGCCTGGGAGACCCCAGCCCTGGGGGGGCCGTGAGGAGGGATACAGGGACCAACTGCCCCCCAGTTTGTAGGCTATGCAGAGACCTGCTGGGGCTGGTGGAGGGGGAAGCGTTACGAATCTTAATTCTGGGATGGGAGGAGCTGGATTTCACAAGGGAAGAAAGATGGGGGGGGGGGGGCAGCTGCAGATACCAGATCTAAGCACTGCTTTCAAGAGTGAGGTGGGGCCCGGGGAAAATTCAGGGGCTCGGATGACCATGGCTGTCTCTGAAGTGGGTGGCGATCGCAGGCCACGCGTGACAGGGACAGATGGGCCACTCAACGGCTAGGGCCCACTCCCCCCACCTGCACCAGCTGACCTGAAGCCCAGCCAGTACCAGGCCAAGGGGTGAAGGGTCTCTGTTCAGAACGACTGTGGCTGTTCTGGGCAAAGTCGCCTCCTTCCCCCTCTGAGCAGACGCCGGCCTTGGGCTGGGGCACGGGGAGGTGTTCCCCAAGAGCGCTACTGCCATCTAGCGGCAGCTCGGGCCACGCTCCCTGGTGGGCTATTTACACTGAAACTGGAGAAATTGGAGGAAGCCCCCCTGTGGGTTTCGGCAGTGGGGGGCTGGTTAATGGGCCCTCCCCGCAGGACTCCCGCTGGGCCACGCGCTCTGAGGCTGTGGAGGTCAGAGGGGACTCTGCCTGGAAAGGCCCCCCAGCACTGGCTGCTGCAAGTCTGGGGCCCCAAGGACATTCGGCAAGGAGGCCCCTTGGAAAACGTGGGTCTCCCCAGAAAGTCTGGGGCTGGGTCACTCGGGCTTGCCCGGAGCTCCTGGCCACCGGGCACATGGCGAAGCAAAGAATCAGGCCCGGGGCCCACGGGGGCTTGGCTCTGGCACCCAGGCTCCACCGAGGGCGGCCAACAGAGGCAGCGGCTGGCTGTGCCTCACACGGAGCCCAAACGGCGGGGCCTGAGTGGGCTGCCCCCGAGGCTGACCACCTGCGCCACAGAGGTGCCGCAACCTCAGATACCCGTCCACCCCTCCCCAGCAGCCTCAGGGACTCAGCCCGGACGCCGGGCACAGGCCACGCTGTGAGGCCCTCACTCACCAGCTGCACGTAGGCCACCTTATAATCGGGCTTCTTGATCCTCACGTTCCTGTAGTCCCTCTGCCTGTTGGAGCCTGTGGAAGGAGGGAAGTGGGCCCTGACTCCAACTTGCAGCCCAGACCCTCAGGTGCAGGACCCGCAACGCCGCTCTTGGGGCGGCAGGGCAGCCAAGGCAGCTAACACCCACTCTGAAGCCAGACTGTGTGTCAGTGCAGCTGATCTTCGAAAATAAAAACACCACTGGACATTCTGGAAGACTGGAAGAAATGCCTCATCTCTGTTACAATGTGCATGGGGCAGAAGGCCATTTCTAGAGGACACCCAGGTCCTGTGGCCTCTGGAGCTGCAGGGCTGGCCCAGGACTCGAGTGTGGGAAGGGACCAGCACCTGTGGGAACACAGGACAGGAGGTACCAGTAGACAGAGTCTGGTGGGGCCGCCGCTGCCCGGTGCAGGAAGTGGCACCGGTTGACATAAGCTAGCACTCAGGGTAGATGGGGAGCCATCCTGAGCCTCTGCCTCAGTATCTCCATGTGTCAATTCAAGGTAAAGAGCCGGGCAGCTGGGGGGGGGGGGGGGTCACAGCCTGGCACTGCGGGAGCTCCCGAAGCCCACGGGGAACCTGGCCCCTCACCGTGCTGCACCCGCGTCCGAACGGCAGCCACAGGCACACTGTAAATGCGCTCTAGGTAATTCTTGAGGTCCGTCCTGGTCATCCTGGGTGAGGCAGAAAGAGGCTGGGCTGATGTGAAGAAGCAGACCAAAACCCGCCGGAGTGTGGGCAGACCCCAAACATCAGCGCTGCTGGCTGCAGGGCCCCGAGCCGCCCTCTCCAGACACCAGCACTGGGGTGTCAGAAAGACAAGACGCCCTGGGAATCCTGCTCTATTGCTTTGGCCCCCACACCCCTCTCCCCAGCCTCCCCTGGAAGTCCGTGTGGGGAAGCGTGGGCTGCCACTGGGGTGAAGCATCCCTGCTGCAGGGCTCTGGACTGGCCCAGCTGGGCACCTACTGCCACAGCCTAGAAGGATTCCTACCAAGGACCATGGGGGCCTGGGAACAAGAAGTATACATTCTCAGTTCAGCAGAACCTAGGGCCATGACCCACTCAGCTTCACAGCCCCTCTGCCCTCTGTAGGGCTGGATGCCCTACGGAGATGCCCCAGTGTGCCTGCTGCCCCCCAGCCCCAAGCTGGCCCTGGGCCCCAGGCTCAGGCCGCACCCATGGCTCTCCCTCACAGTGAAGTGTACGTGAAACGGCAAAGTACAGCAAGGAACTCAGCACTAACACGCGGGAAGCCGGGGGGGGGGGGGGGGGTACTCCGTGAGCTCGGCTCCCAGCCCAGCCCCTGGGAAGAGAAGAACAAGGAAGGGAGTCCAAATCTCAGGCTTTCGGTTAAGCCTTCCCCAGGTGGAGGGCGAGTCAGGAAGTCAGCCAAGAGCAGCTCAGCTCTACAAACCCCGGGCCTCCCGCCCCGTCTGCTGAGCCAGCACAGCCGCCGGGGGTCTGTCAACGGAGGAAGAGCCTGACCTTGCTGAGCCAGGAAAATGCGCCAGGGTCCCAGCCCCGGGGCCCCCACCCCAGTTTCCTTTGGGGCTTACTCCATGGGGATCCGGAACTGCACCGTGTCCTCGGGCTGGGCGGTACCGGGCCGGACCAGCTGGATGAAGAAGTTGGTTCGGAACACGCGGAGCTGGGGTCCGCCCAGCTGGTACAGGGGGTACCTGCGTGGAGACAGCACGGTGGTCAGATGGAGACCACGAGGGGCCAGCTCCCTGTCTAACAGCACGGCCCCACGTGGAGGCTGACCCCACTGGCAGCCCAGCCATACGGAAAGACTGGCCAGGGAACAGCCAGAGAACCTAGCTGACATCTGGGGCTTGGGGTACAGCCTAGCACCGTGCCTCCATGTGCCCGACACAGGCAGGCAGGGGAACAGGACTTGAGAGTGATCCCACCCAGACCGGCTATGGGAGTCTAACATGGAGTCACCCCACACACACACCACGAGCAAACTCAACCCCGGCGGCTGGAGTGGGGACACAGAGGGGACCCCACTTCCCCGAGGCTGCCCCAGACATCACTGTCAACAAACAGCACTGACAGCACGGCACCCCCTCCTGAGTGACCCTCCAAATACCAAGGTGAGGGGCGCCTGCCTGGGGTGTGAGCCTGGGGGGCTTCCCACCGGCAACGGGCCCCTGACCACAGCCTCGCCCAACAACTAAGGCCTCACATGCGGCCACAGGCGTGAGCTGGGCAGGGCCTGGGCCTCCCCAGGGCTCGAGGAACAAGGTGTGTGTGTGGGGGCAACCCCCTCCCCCCAAGGGTGTGGGGGGGGGGCGGCCAGGCCCCCAGGGGAAGGGCGCTGGGGGGCCAGGCCCTGCCCGGATCCACTCCCAGGCCCCGGCCCCGGGGCCGCCTGGCAGTAGGTGTGCGTGCCTGTGGGACCTCACAGGGCCAGGCTGGGAGCAGCACTGCGTGGTGGGAAAGGGGTGCAGCGGGCCGGGGCACCGCCCAGGGCCACGCGGGGAGCAGGAAAGGGGTGCAGCGGGCCGGGGCAGCTCACAGGGCCAGGCTGGGAGCAGCACTGCGTGGTGGGAAAGGGGTGCAGCGGGCCGGGGCAGCTCACAGGGCCACGCGGGGAGCAGGAAAGGGGTGCAGCGGGCCGGGGCACCGCCCAGGGCCACGCGGGGAGCAGCACTGCGTGGTGGGAAAGGGGCGCAGCGGGCCGGGGCTCCGCCCCAGCCGGGACCCCACGGCCCCGTCCTGTCCCCGGCCGTGTGCGGGGGGGGGGGGGGTCCCCGTCCAGGCCCCGACGCCCCCACGCGCGGGGCGCCGAGCACGTGTTTCTGCCAGGCCGGGCCACGTGGGCCGGGGCGGGGCCGGGGCGCGGGCGGCCCCCGCGCCGACCACGTGACCGCGCCGCCCCGCGCGGGGAGCCCCGGCCCCGCTCCCGCCCGCGGACCCCGGCCCCGCCCCGGCCCCGCTCCCGCCCGCGCGGGGAACGCTACTCACAGCACGTTTCGCGCCATGGCGCCCGCGCCGCCGCCGGCAGGAAGGAGCGGCGCCCGCCCCGCACGGGGCCCGCGCTGGCGCAGCGCCCCCTCGCTTCCGGAGGCCGCGCCGCCCGGCCCCGCGCCGCCCCGCAGCCGGCCCCCCCCCGCACGCACGCACGCACGGCCCCGCAGCCGGGCCCCCCCCCCGCACGCACGGCCCCGCAGCCGGGCCCCCCCCCCGCACGCACGCACGGCCCCGCGCCGCCCGCAGCCGGGCCCCCCCCCCCGCACGCACGCACGCACGCACGGCCCCGCAGCCGGGCCCTCCCCCCGCACGCACGGCCCCGCAGCCGGCCCCCCCCCCCCGCACGCACGGCCCCGCGCCGCCCGCAGCCGGGCCACCCCCCCCCCCCCGCACGCACGGCCCCGCACGGCCCCGCGCCGCCCGCAGCTCCGCACGCACGGCCCCGCAGCCGGGCCTCCCCCCCCCCCCCCCCCCCCCCCCCGCACGCACGGCCCCTCAGGGCCCCAGTCTAAGCACGTGCGAGGCACGCGGCACCGCGCCCGCCCTCTCCCGCAGCGTCTGCCCCCTCCCCGTAGCGCCCGCCCCCTCCCCGCAGCGCCCCCCCTCCCCGCAGCGCCCCCCTCCCCGCAGCGCCCCCCCTCCCCGCAGCGCCCCCCCTCCCCGCAGCGCCCCCCCCCCCCCCCCCGCCCACCGGGCCCGTGCGGAGAGAGGTCAGGGCAGCCTCAGGCCCAGGGGAGCCCCGGGAAGCAAGGAAGAGCCCCGGCCACATGGGGGGCTGAGCCCGGTGCCCCCAGGACTGCAGGGCTGAGCTCCCGCCTAAGTGTAGAGTGACCCGTGACTTTCGTGGGGTGCAGAGCCAGGGCCGGAGGAGCCGGGGAGACGCCGGTGGGCAGCCAGGGAAGGGAGCAGCAGCTCGCCCGATGGCCGGCCCCTGCCAGGCCCGTGCGAGCGTGGGCCTGAGCTGCAAGTAGCCACAGTGACCACCCAGGGACGGGTGGCTGGACCCGCCTTTGCCCAGCCCGGCCGCAGATGGCCCCTGCCTAGACCAGGACCAGCTCAGATGGGGGCGGGGAGAGGAGGGGGCCCGAGGTGGAGGCCCAGGGATCCGGGACGTTGACTCTCTTCGTAGAGAGCTCTGATCGGTGGCCACCTTCTCACCCACAGATGCACAGCCCCCCTACAGAGACGGGGGCCCCAAGGCGGGTTCAGGGTTGTGCCTGCCAGAGAGGAGAGGGGGTGACGGGATCCACGGTGGGGTTGGGGTTACGGGTCGGGTCAGCAGCCCCTGCATCCCCCATCCATCCCCGGCTCCCTCCCAGGCCTCTCCCCAGTGTGCGATTGCTCTGGGGGCCCCGAGTCAGAAGGACCCTCTCTCCTCCCCCTCCCCCTGCCTTCCACCCCCTTCTCTCCCTCTCTCCTCTCTCCTTGCACACTAATCCAGTGTTCTTTGCTGCCCCTTTTTCTGGGGCCCCGGGCTGAGGTTGCCAGAGAAAATACAGTAAATATGAGGCCAGTTAAATATGAGGTTGGGCTCAACAACTACTCATATTTTTCCCCTTTTTCTTTTTTAAAATAAGCTTTATGTATTAGAACAATTGTAGGCTGGCAGAACATTGCACAGAAAGAAGTTTCCATAGCCCACTTCCACTCCTACACCCTCTATGAACATCTCTCCGACATCACGGATGCCTTGTTACTATTAACCAATGAATCCTTATTATCTTTTTGTGTGCCGGTTCTGGGGCTTGAACTCAGGGCCTGGGTACTGTCCCCGAGCTTTTGTGCTCAAGGTTAGCACGCTGCCATTTGAGCCACAGCTCCGCTTGTGGCTTTTTGGGTGGTTCATTGATGATTCGGGTCTCGTGGACTTTTCTGCCGGGGTTGATGTCCTCAGTGCTGACATCTGAGTAGCAGCGAGGGCGTTACTGTTCACCAATACGTTCCTGGCTCCCGTGTCGTCCGGACCCATGGTTGACCATCGCAGGGTCTGAAGGACGGTTTCACCACCCCAACCCTGTCAACCCTCACTCTTTGTCCCTGCTGCCTCCCATCTTCTTCCTGTCGCACAGTTTCAGGCCTGTGATTGCTCAGGAGTCTCTGTCAGTCAGCAACGTGCGTTTTTGCCTTCTCTCTGTCTCCACACCTCCTACTGTGTGGAGGTGCCTCTGTTTGCCCGTTTGCCCACTGTTGCTTCCAAGATTCAGCGTGTAGGGGTGGAAAGGTATGACCTTTCTCTTCCCATCAAGAGGCACAACCAGCCAAGTACCATGCATGGGTGGCTCATGCCTGCAATCCTAGCCACTTAGGAAACAGCGATCTGAGCATGGAGGTTTGAAGCCAGCAAAATCTAAGACTCTTATCGGCAATGGACCACCAGAAAAGCTGGAAGTGGAGCTGTGGCTCAAGTGGTAGAGCCTTGAGTGGAAAAGTATCAGGGCTAGCGCCCAGGCCCTGAGTTCAAGCCCCAGTACTGGCACACACTACATCAGTCAATAATGAATAAATAGCATACACGAAAGAGAAAAGTGTTTCATTTAGTCAGAGTTTCACCTGGCCTAGAGCCTTCAGAGCTGAAGAGTTAAATTAAGCCCAGGGGGAGCAGTCTGTTTTTGTGCCCTAGCCAGACGGACTTACACCAACAAGTCCTGTGTGGACATGGCCTGGACAGAGGTTTGACTTCACAACAACAGGCTAGGAGACCCAGCAGGGCCTGCCTGCCTGGATTCTTTCTGGTCTCCATGTCCTTCCCTCCCTCCCTCCCTCCCTTCCTTCCTTCTTTCCTTCCTTCCCCCTCTTCCTGTGTAGGGCAAGACCTTTGCAAGAGCTATTGTACCAGAACTGTGTCCCTGACAGCCAGGCCCCACAGTGGCATTTGGGGTCCCCCCAGGGAAGGAGTGGGGCTTACAGTGGTTTTTAGAGGGGAGTGTTCACCGTTGGGGAGGGGCTCTAGCTTCCACCACCCACCTTGAGAAGGGCTTTGTGCTCTCCTGGCTGTCTGGGGAGGCCGGAGGAGGCCGGCCTGGCAGAGGCTGCAGGGAGGAGGCTGCTGCAGCCCCCAGGCTCTGCAGCACTGGGGGATTGGGGGCTGCTGGCACCGGCAGCGTGGTACGGAGCCCGGTTCTCTGCCCACACCTGCTGGTGGGAGCTCCCTGGGCTGCCCGAGAAGCTGACCAGTCTCTCGGTGGCTGCCCGCGTTGCACCCTTAATGCTCCCCGAGTTCCTGCTGCTCTGGGGCCTGGCAGATGGTGTGACCAGGGTTCTGGGTCTGGGGCGCTCTTACAGGTGTGCAAGCCAGTGGGGTCTGAATTCCCACTTGTCACCGAAACGTGGGAATGCGTGCCATTACCACTCAGCTCTGTGAGTTAGATGGCCCCTGTGCTGGAGGCTGCTGGCTGGCATGAGGGGGAGGGGAGGGAGGCTTGGAGGGAGGGGTGGTGAACCGATCTGGGGTGCTTAGCAAAGAGGGCGTTCCCACCACCCTGCCCACCACCGTGCCTGTCCTGGTACAGGTTGGAAGGCAGTGGACAAATGTCTGGTGACTCTGAGCTGGTAAGGGCTGCTGACTGGAGCCTCCTCTCTGCCCAGCATCTCCCTGGGTCCCTGCTGGCTCAGGGGCTTAGGGCGCTGATCAGGCCACACACCAGAGCCTGTCCTTGTGAACTGAAGTGTCTCAACGGTCGAAGCACGGCAGCTCCGGGGCGGCCGGTCCCTCCCGTGCCCGGCCCAGGGGGCTCTGGCGTCTGCTGCCCTAGCCCAGGCTTCTTCTAAGCTTGTTGGCCCCTGGAGAGAGAGGCCGGCTGTCTCTAGCCAGGTCCCGCAGCGAGCGGGGCACAGGGGCGCACACAGGGAGGCCTCCCTCATTCCCGGCACAGCGCCGTCGCCTGCCCTGGCTCTCTAGCTCAGCCCCTGAGTGCTGCTGACCCTTAGCTTCTCCCCGTTCAAGGCCGGCACTCCACCACTCCAGTCCAGCTCCTTTTCTAGCTTTTTTAGTGAATTGAGATAGGAGCATCATGGACTTCCCTGCTCAGATTAGCTTGGATTGCAGCCTCCTGAGTAGCCAGAATTACGGGCATGGGCCGGAATTCCAGGCTCGGAGATGAGTCTTTCAGGAGGCGATTGGTTGAGGTGGAAGGGGATGGCTGGATCCCGATGCTGACCCAGTTCGACTGCAGCCGCGTGAGAAGGATGAGGACTCAGGAGGGACTCGGGAGGACCCAGCACGGGGCACCCTGACACCCTGACACCCCCGTGTCACCTCGGCCTTCCGCTCCGGCCTCCAGAGTCTGAGGCAATAACCAAACTGGGTCTTGCTTAAGTCACCTGAGGCGCGGCGTTTGTTCCAGTGGCCCCAGCAGGCGAAGCACAGTGGTAGTGCCTTCCTCACGCATTTCCAAGTGCGTCGAATGTGTTCATTATTTCACCCTTGCCTGTCACGTTTGACTTAAAACATCTCCCACATCTGTTAGCTGCCTTTCGAGTTTTAAAACTGCCTTTTGTTTGGAGGTATAGTTTAGAGTCCCGTGTTCAAAATGGACATTTTTGACTGAGACCCACCAAGCCTGCGCTCAGAAGAGAGCAGACCTCCAGCTACCTTCTGCCACTTTGCCATTCTTGGTCCTGCACAAGGACTGTTCAGGAACATTCTGTACATGGAGTTATGTACATGGACTCTCTCTCCCCTCTCCCTCTCTATCTCGCCAGCTTCTTTCTCTCAGATGGATTTCTCCTCTGAAACCCACCCCTGCTGGGGATGTGGGCACAACAGCATGTGGGCTGTCTCTGAGTGTGGACACACTGCCGTCCATGTACCCAGGCCTCTGATGGACACCAGGCTCTTTCCAGTTCTCGATGGTTCACATTCCACTGCCTGTCCACATTCCCATGCAGATCTTCCTCAGAAAGTGCGTTTCCGGCCCTCCTGGGAAAAGGTCTGGAAGAGAGGCCCCAGGCCCCCGGGAGCCTGGGGCCCAGCAGGCTGAGAAGCCCCCGCGTTACAGCTGCCTGCTCGTCTTCCGGGGGCCAGTACCCCGCCCCCCCATCCT